CTGGAATAATTCAACAAAAAACAATAAATCACGAGAACTGTTCGAGTGAACACCCTGTACATAACACTTAATACTCGTACACATCGAATCACGAGGATCTCTAAATTTGCACAAAATTCTAATCGAACTCTGGTGAGAAATCCTCGACTTTTATTAACACCTCGTGCTTGCAAGCGTTTCACTATTTACGTATACGCATCGTGTACACATAGAGACATGACACACATAATCGAAGCGCATGCACATTAATAAATAAGAAAGAAAAAAAGAACAACCAGTGACGTCACATTACAAAGACCTTATATATTCCCATCGAATTTGTACGGTGACACGAAGAAGCGTGATGGTGCACTAAAGTATAATAATAATAAAAACGTGTTCTATCGTCGCGAATCGCAAACAATTTCGCAGGATCTCCCGTTTATTTTCTTCGCGTACAGCGTAATGCAAAATAATTTCCAGCCGTTGCTTAAAATAAAAAAAGAAACAAGCGTCGCCAATTTTCAACCGTCACGACGAACACGGGTGAACCGAGATTTATTCGTGGTTATCCACTCTCGAGGATCGATTCTTCCATCGCTAGCGGGGTGAAATTGAAAAATCGCCGGTGGAAACAGAACACGAATCGAATCGATTGGGATGCGAATAGTGGCTCTGGTTAGATCGTCAACGGATATCCGTGTGTAGTGGGGCCACAGACTTCTATATTATACAGGGTGTCACAAAAGTGTTGCAGGCCTCTGAAATGGATCACTCGTGAGATGATTTTGGAACAAATTTTTCCTTAGCAAAAATCTTATCCGAGGCTTTGTTAACGAGATATTAACGAAAAATCCCGACCAATCGCTTTTTTGACCAAAAAATTTTTCGTTAATATCTTGTTAATAAAGCCTCGGATAACATTTTTGCTAAGAAAAAATTTGTTCCAAATCACCTCACGAGTGAACCATTCCAGGGAACTACAACACTTTTGTTACACCCTGTATACTGGTACCAGTACACCCAGATACTTTAGTTTAGTACATGCTTCTTGAGGACATTTTCTATAAGCGAAATTTATGGACTTAGCAGTCTAGTATACGATATAGAAGTTTGTGAGTGGGGTATCGGGTCCGTTGATCACGAGACCGGTTCGTAAACGTGTAAAGAAATGTGATAATTCGAAATAAAGAAACATGCAAAAGAGTAAAAATTGAAATAAATCTAAGCCTTTACATACCATCTTCTTTACACAAATCAACTGAAATATATATTAGGTACATTTTTATAATCGTCCAACACAACGAACACTGAATTTGTATTTACAAATATTTTTAAGTAAAAAAAATAAAGGCACGACTTTCCCCTACGACCGGGGGAACCGTGTCAGTCGTGAAGGAAAACAAAGGGAAAAAAAAATCACACATGGGAATTCGCGGGAATCTTTTTTTTGGCAGCAGATGCGAGAAATACGGATGCCTTCTAGGAAGACTTCGTCTCGAAATTCGTGAACAGTGTGCCGACAAATTTGATAAAATCTGTTGATGGTCTCGAAATTTTTAACAGTTTCTTTCGGGTTTTTTGTATACTAACTTGATGTCAACCTTCGTTCCCTGTTCTAATTATTTAACCCTTTCACTCCCAGTGTTGTACCGGTACAACATTCATTTTAAAAGTATAAACATTTCATTTCAAAAATTCGTAATTTCACTGATAATAGAGTAGATCTCATCGTTGAGAAATTCAAGTATTCATTCTAGAAATAAGTAAATAAAAAAGAATTGGTTTGTTTAATATTGATATTTTCGACTGCAAAATAACAAGCAATATAACCTAAATGATTGCATACACTGATTAGGAAATGTATACATTCCTTTATTTATTACCCACCTAGAAAAATTTATATAGTCATCTAAAGTTCCTTTGTACCTCAAGAATCAAATCTTCATAATTTCAATAACATAAAGTATAAATAAATTAACGAATACGATACAAATTAATATCTGGTCAAAGAATCAACTGGGCAAGCTGGGAAACTGGATATTATTGTATCTTGGTGTTTCGAACCAAAACTGAGTTGACATAAAAAAAAAACAAAAGAAAAGAAAAAGACAAAAAAGAAGCAACATTTCGGTCGTGTCGTAGAACTAAGGAGAACCGATTAACAATATAACGTGTAAAAGCTTCCAAGCGTAATTCGAATTGCAATCAACACACGAATATTCATGAGCAACAATCAGTTATTGTTTATAATTCGATATTTAACGGCACATTGAAAACACAGAGCAGAATTCGCATTCTCTGTTTGCATCCATCCACTGCCAAATTATCTGCATGACTTCGCGGGGTAATCGAAATCTCTCGCGGGTTTCGTTTACCCCGATTCGGTTCATATTTTCAGCGAAATTCGCGGTATTTACGGTTATCGTCTCTTTTTCTCTCTATCATATTCTCTCCCTCTCTTGCTAGCTTTCTTTCCCTCTATCGCTCTCTTTGCCTTTCTCTCCCGTTGCACCCCTCGCGTACTGAAGTTAATCGATGAATTAACGTGCCAATGGATAGCTTCAATCGGAACAATTTAATCGGATCATTGATATCCGATTCGAAACGGGGCGAAACGTACGGGGTGTTTTCAAAACAGTGCCAGACAATAAGAAATTTATGAATACTTGACTCTTAATATTTTTAATTATTAATTTATTAACCCCTTAACTGTTTAATATTTTTTATATTTACGAATTATAAGAATAAACTTCAAAGCGTATTATATATCTGTCGACCAGTTGTGCCAAATTGTTTCTTGAACGAAAAGAATAAATATTAATTATGGACACTGTATAACTCAATATGTTTAAACAATTGTACTCGATAACGCTTCTAAAAAAGGACAGATAATTTCAGGTAATTATAAATCATTTATAGACCCGACAGATAATTTCCAAGACCATTCTGCATAAAAAAATGTCATGTGAATGAAAGCACGATTAGGAACATATACAGAAATACATATATGGCGTCAGATGTTAATTGGTTCTCAGTAATTTGTAAGTACTACTCTTGAGGTACTAGACCGAGAATGACTGTGAAAAAGGATGAAAGTCACAGTTTGTTCAAGCGAAAAATTTAATTGGTTTTTATGTAGATATCTTTCGTAATCGTGTTTTGGACGCTACTTTAAAAACACCCTTTGTACATCCGTGTGCACGTTGATCGCGTAATCTCGGTAAAGGATTCAACATTTCGGATAAGATATCTAAATATTTATTTATACGAAGGAAATTTCTGATAATTATCCAACTGTTAGTAATAACAAAATTATTTGTTTTAAACAACAAACGAGAATTCTGTAATAAGAAAATCAGCATGTGGAGAATAAAAGAATAAAAGATTACGTTTGCTGCTTGAATCTTCAATTTTACAGCTACAATGACATTTACAGATTTTACAAATTTGATTCTTTGAAAGCAAGTTAGAGGTTCATTTGATTAATTTACCGAGATCAAACGAGTTTGCTGCTTTTTCCACGGGACGGGCAAATTGGACAAATTTTCAGGCCTAACGAAGGAACGTTCAGACCTAAATGGCTATAACTTCGCTCGGTACCTTTTTCCGTTGTTAGAGCGAATGAAAGTAAATGTCACTGCAAAACTTGAGCTTATCCTGCGATCTGGTAACAAAATTTGATTACACCTTAAATTTATGAACAATTAAATCATTTCAGTCGGAACTTTGTTGTCATAATATTTTTAAATAATTTCCAAGTAACCAAAAACCTTACAATGATCTGTATTGCTAAACAATCAAAACAGTTAATAATTGAAAATTTATTATACAATTATTAAAATATTTGTCACTGAAGAGTTATAATGTGTCAGTAATTACGTGAACGATTTATTTCTAAGAATGTTACGATTTGTCTATACTCTATACTCATTCGAGTGTGTGCAACTAAATTCTGATTATTTGAAAATTGCAATGGTGTTTTGTTCTTTCATAGTAGCTCAATATACTTCTGAAAGAATTCATGTCTGGATTACGAAACGGTGTAATTTAAAGTGTTTCGTTGCGAAGAAATTCGATGCATTCATTACGAAAAAAAACTCGGTACATTCGTTGATCGAAAACGTAATCGATCGAATGTTCGTTATTGAATTGCAACTGTGAAGAATTTCTAAATATTCTGGAATGTCGAAGTATTGGGATACTTTAAATACTGATATTTCGTAAGCCACAACTTCCATTATTATTTTAAAATTTCAATTAAGTTTCCTCTTACATCACCACAAAAATCGATACATAAAGTGAAGATTTTTGAATTATTTATGACCTAAATAACAAATTATATATATAATGCCCAAACTTCTGGCTCTGTACAATTCTTTTTGTCACGAAAGCTTCGCGACTAAATTTCTCAGAATAGCTTCCTTCAAACGAAATAAATTGTATGCCAATTAAGTATAAATAAGCACTTTAATAGTTTATGTGATGAAAGAAATGAAAATTTTTGGATTTTTGTTCTAAGACACGCCAATTGGCGAATCAATTTTAAAGGACCCACAATGCAGCATCCTGGCACCGCCATTTTCTATACTCGCAAAACTAAATAAATTCTTCGACCGAACCAAATCGAAAAAGCTAATTATAGTAATTCAGAAAATTAATATTTAAAATCATTTCACGTATTTAGATCCGAAATCGATTGTCCTTCCTACATGGTAAGTATTTTCATGTTCTGCAGTAACGTTTTATTTCATCCGCCATAGTAACGGAAATGACGTTCCAGCAAATTCTGAACCGTTTGCGGTCCGAGCGAACCCTGCGGCGAAACAAAAAGTAAAGTAAAACTCCCGGAATCGCTGACTGAAGCGATCCGAATGCTGAACGGCAAATATAACGTGGATCGCAAATCGTCGGCGTCGATCAAGACGTCCGAGTAACATCGTAAGCAACTATAAACATCAACAATCAACGGCTAGTAGGCTACTGCCACTGAACTCCGACAAATATTCGTAGACGCTTACCTTTCCCAAAGGAGTGGACGGTTGTCCGGCGGGCGCTGGGTCCTTTATGTAGATGTTCCATGTCGCTACGCTGTTGATGGCCTTGTCGGCGGCGTAACATCTCCATAGGCACTGTATCAACATCGCGGCAGCCGGTATCTGCCGATTGAAGTGCTTCTGTCGTTGTTTTTGCTGGACTTTCAGCGCGAAACCCGAGCCCAATATGCCCTGGAACCACAAAAATCATATTGTGTCCTATTATGTTCGCATTCGTGTGACTACTTCGATCGAGAGGCATTCTTGAATGTAAATTATTTCATTGGTCTAATAAAAAAATTGTCCTTCAACCGTTAACTACGGACCACTTCTGTCTTTGAGACGAATTTGAATTTTTCTTTTACTGTCGCCATCTAGTGGAGAGTTTTGGAAAGCTCTAGAGCATTAGAGTAATTAGTTTGGGGCCAGGATGGCCCCCTGGAATACGGACTGGCCCCCCATCCAGAAGTTATGGGAGTGTTATGGACGAATATCAGGGGACTTGACGTATGTACAATTATATTTCGCGCACTATTTAATACTGTTCCGAATTCTGTCCCCTGGTCATTCTTTATACCAAATAGTATCTTCTTAGACTAGAACTACCGAAGTTGATCGTGTTTCTATTTTTATCACGTTGGTAAAAGAGAGTTGGTAAAGAGAGTTTGTTATAAACATGAAAATCGATAAATAAACGAACTTCTTCACTTACAAATTGCAATAAAAGCTGCGGAAATCTCCGAAAATACACAATTATGACATTTTCATATTTCTTATTAGAGTTTACGAACCAGTCATTTTGACTGTTTTGGTAGTTCTAGTTGTTAACGAATGAAGTATTATTGAAAAGTGGTAAAATTAATTTTGTAAGATGTATTGATACAGGCTGTCCAATTGTAATTAGAATTGCTAATATGGAAATCATACTTACGGCTGGAAGTGCGAAAAATGATATGGCGAATACGCTGAAACACGAAGCGACTATTTTTCCCATCCACGTTTGTGGGACAGTGTCACCGTAGCCGATAGTGGTCACGGTAATCTATGGAAGAAACAAGCACGTATTAATATCGTGTTTTCAATAAAATACAATCGGGAATTTTTTCGTCTCTTCCCTTTTGGACATCTTCACACGCGACGTCAAGGATTAAGGAAAGTGACATACAGAGAAGAAATCTAGCGTGGACGAGATAGATATGCGCCGTGCAACAATGAACGTATTATAAAATACAGATGAAAAAATTGTGAGTTTCATGAAGGTTTATAATTATTCAGGCTGTTCCATTTATGATTCACCGTAGAATACAGTTGAAAAGTTTTAGAATCCGTTACGATGTCCTCGTTTCTGAAGGAAAATCAAATTACATACGTCATATTTTGATATTGAATGGCGATAGAGTTCGCAGTATAATTTTATCCAAAAAAATTGTTATTTTAAGAATGTGTCCTGCATTAATAACAAAAGATATTTAATAAAATGTATTCCGAAAAATTATTCGATCCGATACTTGAGTAAGTCACTGCACGTCTCAAAGCTCAAATATTCGTTCACACGTTGCTATTAAAAAATAAAACCATTACACAGAGATATGCGCATTGGAAAGGGGAAAAAATAAATACAGAAAACGCAGAAAAAAAACGTACACCAAAAAGCAGTGTAAACATTAAATATTTTTTTCAATTGGACCTCGTACGTTTTAATCAAATTTATCGACGTGATCGAGTGATCAACGAGCGCACACAAATAAATCGAGGAGGCAATCTAATTAAAATTTAAATTCAAAGTAAATTTAGTAGCGTACAGCGTCTTTCAGTTTAGTTTTTGACGCAGGAAATAATACCACGAATTTCTATCGGCCACAAAGCGAAAAGTGTCGACAAGAATGGAACGGCAATCGATCGTCGGTGTTTTCCCCCTCGAAACGATGTTAATCAATCCGCACTTAAATCCTTATTTATTCGACCGCGTGGCTTTAATCGGCCTCCCGTTGACCATTCGACGGACTTTAAATGGCGGCATATTTTCCGAATGATTAGCACCCGCCGCTTAATAAACATTCGCGAGCCGGCTATACAATTAAGCCCGTACACGTCGCTGAACGAAATCCAAATTCCGAGGTAACGAGCGAAATCGCCGGACTGAATTAATTATACGCGTTAATAGAAACCGAACGGGCCGAAACGCTTATTACACCACGAGTCACGTATTGGAAAATGGATTTCGGCTGTTCAAGGGAGCCAGTATTCTTCCGCGCGACTTTAAGGGGTATTGTCACTGCGGAGCTCTGAAAAATTGTCACATTTCAGGAATTTGGCAAAATCCTACTTATATAAGAGATATAAAAAACAGCTGCTTAATTGACCGAAAATGTTGAATTTCGTCTTAATGGGCACAGTAACTGACTTACCCTAAGTGCAGAATTGCATACTTAAAATGATCGAAGGTGTACAATGAAAAATGTGGAGAAAATAGCTGAAAGTGAGAAAGCGAACAATAACAAACACGCATGTCATAGTAATTATATTTACCACCCCCCACCACAGTGCATCTGCGTAACTGGAAAAGTCTGTTTTTCCATCGGGCCCAATAACATCTTTTTCGGCAAGATACACGAAGTAACTGCTGAAAATAAGACCTAGGAACCCGATGTACAGTGTCGTGATCAGCTCCTGAAAGTTTTGATAGGAGAACGCTTTAATGCAGTAGCTCCTCAACGACAAGAATTATGTATTCTTTCGTTGTGACTTTGTAAAAGGCGACAATTCCTCGGAAGTCTCGAATCTCCAATCGAAGATTTCGTGGTATAAAGTGGCTGAGTCACTTTTCTTCAAAAAAAGAAAATAACAGCACACTGTATTGATAAGCACTGTTTTGGAACACCCTGTATACATGATTATACTGTAAAATTATAGTTAGTTTTCATTCATACAGCCCTGAATAATTCTAATGCTAATGGACAACAGAAAATTATATACAAGGTGTTCCACCTAAGACTGAATACTTATACATCTTTTTTATTTCTAATGATAGAAATGTTTCGAACACCGTTTGCATGGTTTCAAGAAGGGAGTATCGTATATGTAACAATTTTTTTGCGAATTTTTTTAGATCGCTAGAATCTTTTTGCCAGACAGCATGTAGGTTTTTATATTGCATCATGTAGCACGTGTTAATGTGCATTCAAATATGTCTAACCTAGGACCTTGAGGTAAATCTGAAAATTGAAACAATAATGAAATGAAAAACAGAAAACGTTAACCAATTCACTACTCCAGAAGACACGAAGAATCGAAACATTACAGTATGTACAGTTATCACGTCAGAAGAAATAGAAACAGCATAAAAATCCATGCTTTCTCGTTTTAGACATTGCATTGCCACCGATCGACATCACTTTGAGCATTTGTAACATACAAAGTAAATTCACATACCCCCCTAACATTGTTTTAGAATTTCATTATTTTTTTAATATTCAAGGTTCACCGCAAGGTCATAAAATAGACATATTTGAATGCATCTCAATACGTGCAACATGATGCAATAAGAAAAGTACCTAAAAAAAATTCGAAAAAAATGTACCTTGTACGATACTCGCCTTCTGAAACCATTCAAACGGTATGTGAAACACTGCTCATATTATTACAAAGAAGATATTTAGGTGTTCAGTCTTACGTAAGACACCATTTCTTAATCGAAAAATAAACCATAATATTCGAATACAAACTAGCCTCCTTTCAAGAAAAGAACATACAAACGTACCACCTCATTTGAATTTTTTAATATTAAACGTTAAGGCAGGCTGTGAAATAAACAGAATTCAATCGAAAGCTACTTAAATACTACCATTATCTGAAATTCTCCGAAACCTATTCAACCATCTGTTATAGACTGTCAAACACTGAAATAC